CCTTCTCATCCTCCTCCTTCTCATCCTCCTCCTCCTCTCTCTCTCTCTCTCCCATCCCAGGGGGGGCGAGCCCCCGCGGAGTCCATACAATGCAAGGTCCTGCACGTAGAGCACCTTCTTGTGCGGTCCCACCGCCAGGCGCCCCCGATGGACGTGACAGAGACCGCGACCTCGCCAGGGCCCCGCAGCGGGGCGGACCGCGCAGCGCAGATGTTGACGCCATCTCTGTGCCACTCCCAGACCTCGTATGCCCTGCGGGCTCCGAGCGGTTTGCGGCGATGGCAGCCATCTCTGAGCCACTCCCAGACCTCGTATGCCCGATGGGCTCCGAGCGGTATGCGGCGATGGCTCGACTGGGCAGATCGTTGCATCGAATCAAGAAACTCAAAAGCGTCAGAACAGAGAGAAGAGTTATAAACCTGATGGCCGAGTCAGTCTGGCCACCGCCATTGCATGAGAGGGTTAAAAAACGTTGTGAGTACCTCACATAAGAAAGCGTGCCGCTGAAGGAAAATCTTATCACGGGGGTAGTTGATGCGCAAACGCCTCGATCTGGGCCAGGACGTCCGCGAGCCACGCTGCCTCCCCATGATGTTCCCACTGGGTCACTCCCGCAGCTCGGTTGAAGTAATACGTGTTGCCCGAGCTAGAATCAACCGCCGACTCCCATTCGGGGGGGAGCTACAGCGGATCGGTCGGGGACGCAACGGCACGGTCCCAACCAGAGGGATGCTCGCCAGAGTCTGAAGAAGCAGCGGCAATCGGGGGCACGGCCGACGCTCGCTGGGAGATGAGCGCGGTCTCCACGGCCGGGGCCTGCGGGGCGTCGGCCTGGTCACCGTAGGCTAGCTGCTCCGTGGCCCACTCCTATCTGACAAGAGACTGCTCTCTGGAGGGCTAGGGCATAGGGCGGCGGAGACGGGGCCTGCAGTGCCGCATGTGCGTCAGGTCACGTTTCTCGCAAGCCGCCGCTGCCCCAGCCGCATCAACCTTTGCTGACCCCAGGCGGCACTTGGCAGCCTCGGGGCGCGCGACTGCCTCCAGTTCGTCCCGCGCCTCCAGCTCCTCGTCGCTTGACGATGCTTCGTACAACTTCTCGAAGAATGCCGTATGGAGATCATCCTGCACGACTTTCTCAACACGCTGGCTATATCAAACGCTGCTCGCGTCAGGTACGGTTTTCAACTTCGATTCCGGCTCCTCGCAAAGTCGTTGGGCGGGCTCTGCACCTGATGCCACAAGTGGCTCTTCTCGCACGCGCTGACTTTGGGGATGTAGTTGATGATGTCTGTTCTTAATTGGCGTAACTGTCTGCAGCTTTAGGTGATTCACACCAGTAACGATGGGCTCCACTGCCTGCACCTTCTCGCACGCGCGGTGAGCGGGCTCTGCACCTGATGCCACAGCTGGCTCTTCTCGGGCCCGTTGCCTCTGGGACTGTAGTTGATGATGCATGTTCCCAACTTTAGGCGCCACTGCCTGCAGCTTCTCGCAAACAAAGCTAATGACATTGGGCTCCACTGCCTGGCCCTCCTCGCACGCTCGGTGAGCGGGTACAGCACCCGATGCCATAGCTGGCTCTTCTCGCACGCGCTGACTTTGGCGCTGTAGTTGATGGTGACTGTAGCCAACTTTTGGCGCCACTGCCTGCAGCTTCTCGCACTCAAGGCTGATAGCATTGGGCTCCCATGCCTGCACCTTCTCGCACTCTAGGTGAGCGGGTTCTGCACCTGACACCACAGCTGGCTCTTCTCGCACGCGCTGACTTTTGGGCTGTAGTAGGTGATGCCCGTCCCCACCTTTAGGCGCAACTGCCTGCAGCTTCTGGCCAACAGAACTGATAACGTTGGGCTCAAGTGCCTGGCCCTCCTCGCACTCTCGGTGAGCGGGTTCTGCACATGATGCCACAGCTGGCTCTTCTCGCACGCTCTGACTCTGTGTCTGTGGTTGATGATGCCTGTACCCGACTGAGGGCTCCACTGCCTGCAGTTTCTCGCAATCTAAGCTAACGACTTTGGGCTCAAGTGCCTGGCCCTCCTCGCACTCTCGGTGAGCGGGTTCTGCACATGATGCCACAGCTGGCTCTTCTCGCACGCGCTGACTTTGGGGCGGTAGTTGATGATGACCGTCCCCAACTTGAGGCGCCACTGTCTGCTGCTTCTCGCACTCCAAGCTGATAACATTGGGCTCCACTGCCTGCACCTTCTCACACGGTGTGTGCCACAATTCTTGATGCCCAAGAAAAGGAGGAAGAAAACATTGTAGCTGACAGCATTCGGCATCATCTTCGCGTATACTATCTTGCGGGTCCTTAGGCCACCACACATCAAGGGACTGCGGAGGGTTCAGGTCTGCTATCGCCTCCCTGATCTCGACTACTATGTACTTGGTCTGCTGCTTGGCCTTGGTCGCCTCGCGCCTCAGGCCGGTGTGCGCCCTCATCCACGCCTCAGTGGCGTCGCGGCGGCGCCGGCGGGCGAGGCGCCCGGCCTTGGTGGGACCGTAGGAGTCGATCTCGGCCTGGCGCATGAGGTCGGGCCGCCACGCTGTCGGGCGGCCCCCCGAGTCCATCGTTCTTGACGCGACTGGCGAGAACAAGAGCAACGGATGAAAGCAAGGCAAGAGCACCGCAGGCGCGGCCGTCGGCCGCGAGGGGTGCAGGGAGGCACCGAAGACCCCCCCTCGCGGCAATGGCGGCACGCGTGGGCCCCGCGCGCGTTGGCTGGCCTCCCTGGGAGGCGGGCCCGCTCGAGCGCGCGGTGCCTACTTCCTCCTCCTCCTCCTCCTCCCTCTCTCCTCCTCCCTCCCTCCCTTCCTCCCTCCCTGCCTCCCTCCCTCCTCCTCCTCGCCAACAAAGTTGGTGTGCTGACCCTCATCGTGGGGAACACGCGCAAGTTCTATAAGCCTGTGGTCGTAACCATCGGTTATTGAGACCACCATGTCCTCGGGTTAAGTCGGGCACGTCCCTCTACAGGAGGAAAAATCAAAAGTAGCAAAAACAGTCCAGGGACGACTTTCCCATTATCTTTTTACAATTTGGGGGCATGTTTGGATTATCTGGGATTTTTCGTCCAAAACCCGCCTGCAGGAGGACATGTCCGACCTAATTCTTGGGCTCACCCCTGGACGCGTCTGGTTTATGCGTGCGCAGGCTGCGACCTGCTCCGGGAGGTGGGTCCCAGGTGCGTGCGCGAACTCTCTGCCCTGGCCGGGGTGCGCCCCGTCAAGGAGGACCCCCGGTTCAGGCTTCGCTGCGAGTAGCTCGCGACCTGGGCTGATGTTCGGGATGCTGTATCCCAGCATTAGAGTTAGGTCGGGCATGTCCCCCTACAGGCGGATTTGTGTCGACAAGTAATTATCCCAGTGCGACCCTACCTAGGAGTTGGAGCATCTAGGAAAGCAACATCTACATCTACACCGACAGCTACATTAACATCTACACCTGCATCTACATCTGCATCAACATCGACAGCGAGACTCACATCTACATCTACATCCACACCTACATCTACACCTACACCTACATCTACATCTACATCTACATCTACATCTACATCTACATCTACATCTACATCTACATCTACATCTACATCTACATCTACATCTACATCTACACCTACACCTACACCTACACCTACATCCACATCTACATCTACACCTACACCTACATCTACATCTTCATCTACACTTTCGCATTGGTTGTGCTTTTGCTTTGCATGCTATGCTATGCTATGCGATGCTATGCTTGGCCATGCTATGCTATGCTGCGCTGTGCTAGCGCTGCGCTGCGCTATGCTGCGCTGCGCTAATCTAAGGTCAGCTAAGATATGCTTGGCTATGCTATGCTATGCGATGCTATGCTATGCTGCGCTATGCTATGCTATGATATGGTATGCCATGTTATGATCTGCTATGCTGCGCTATGCTATGCTAGGCTCTGCTATGATATGGTTTGCTGCGCTATGCAATGGTATGTTATGCTATGATATTATGCGCTACGCTATGCTATACTATGCTATGATTGGCTATGATATGCTGCGCTGTGCTATGCTAAGCAATGCTATGCTATGCTTGGTTATGCTATGCTATGCTATGCTATGCTATACTGCGCTTTGCTATGCTATGCGATGCTATGCTGAGCTATGCTATGATATGCGATATTATGCTATGCTATGCGATGCTATGCTATACTGTGCTAATGCTGCGCTGAGCTAAGCTAAGCTAGGCTAGGCTAAGCTAAGCTAAGTTAAGCCAAGCTAAGCTAAGCTAGCCAAGCTAAAGCTAAGCTAAGCTATGCTAAGTTAAGCTAGGCTAAGCTAAGCTAGGCTAGGCAAAGCGGCGGATCCTGGGGGAACCGCTGGGCGGATGCCGGGGGAACCGCCCGGGGCGAGGAACACTGCCCGGCCCCTTTAAGACACACGGTAAAAACCCTTCTAGGCAGAGCCTAGGTAGGGAAAAAAGAGTCAAACAAATGCAACAACATGTCAAAACAAAACGTAATCACGAGAGTATGTTTGGACTACTTTTGAATAATCCTCCTGTAGAGGGGCACGCTCCACTTAACATTCGAGGATGACGCTCGCCCAACGCTGGGCGCACGATTGCTTTGTCTTCCGTGGGACCGAACATCGATTGCAAAGGGTTGATGGGCCCTGCTGCAGCTAGTAGCGTCGTCATCATCAGCATCAGCATCAGCATCAGCATCATCATCATCATCATCATCATCATCATCATCATCATCATTAGCATCGTCATCATCATCATCATCATCAGCATCATCATCATTAGCATCGTCATCATCATCATCAGTATCACCACCATCATCATCATCACCATCATCATCGTTATCATCATCATCAGCATCAGCATCATCATCATCATCAGCACCATCATCATCATCGTCATCACCACCATCATCATCACCATCATCATCATCACCATCATCACCATCATCATCATCATCATCATCACCATCATCATCATTATCATCATCATCATCATCATCATCCGTAGCCAGTTTGGCTCAAGCCGCTCTGGCTCACGCGATTTTGAGTCAGGCGTGGCCCCGGCCACAAGCGCTGACATCCCGCCGGGCGCCGCCCCGCTGCACGGGCTCTGCCGGAGCCGTGCGCGGCCCTGCCCCACTTCGCCAGCACGCGTGTGGCAGCCATGGTCGGACGGCTGCGCCCCACTTCGCCGTGGCAGCCATGGACGGGCAGCGCGGCAGTATTGGCGGCCGCGGCCTTGATGTCCAGCCCGCCGCTCGGACTCGCAGCGGGTGGTGGCGGCGACAACATCTTCGAGCTGAAGACCAAGAAGTTGGACAGCGCCCAGTTCTGGATCATCCTGGCGGGGATGGTGTTCTACGGGCTGCTCATCGATCGCGTGCAGTACTTTACACAGCGGGCCGTCGAGAATTCGCGATGCAGCAAAATGGTATTCGAGAGGACTGTCACGGAGTTCATGGTATTCGGCATCGTTGCCATTACTATGTTCATAGGAACGAATCTGGATCCGCACCTCGACGAGAAGTATCCGTACTGCACCACGCACCTCACTTACGCTGACGTTCTGGTATCGTTCGCTGCCTGCTCTCTGATCGTGCTGGGCGCACTCTACTCGTGGATGCGGCACCGCACAGAGGAGCACCTGCAAGGATTTCAGGGGGACGAGCATATGGACACTGTAATCCCGAGGATGGGAACCTGGAGACCGATGAACCTCAAGCAGCAGAGCGTGTTCTTGGAGCGGAAGAACTTGACGACGTTCTCGTTCAATTGGAACTTGTATTTCCAGGAGTCCCTCGCTCACCAAATCTGCAATCTCATCAACATTACTTGGGTTACATGGCTCGTCACATTCATCGTCTTGCTCCCAATGGTAGTCTACAAGGGTTTTCTTGATACAGACGCAGCCAAGACGGCAGCTTACATCAATGGATTTCTCTTCACGACCTGGTTTTTTCTTTTGCTCACTTTGGCTACTGTGATTCAGATTAGGCTTCTCCGTGGCAAACTGTACGCGGCAGTGGACGGGTACCTCAAAGCGACCCGCGTAGATGAAGTGGACGAGGACAGCGAGGACGAGGACAGCGATACCGATAATTTGGAGGTTGTTGACAAGAGCATGGAATGGTGGAGCGACTTCTTGGCGTGGCTAATGCAGTTCGAGTCATTGTGCATCTGTTTCATATTGGGCATGTACGTCATGCACCTCTCATACAACCTGAAAGTTTATGGACACGATCTGAGCTACCCCGTGCTGTGGTACCACCTTGGCTTCCTGCTCCCGCTCCTCTTGTCCCTGGTGGTCTTGTTCCCCCTGGGCCTGGTGGAGCTTACGTCGATCCAGGCCTTCTCCGCGCCCGACCAGGAGGTGCTCCACACGATCATCGCCGAGACCCGGCAGGCTCACACGGACCTCGTCTTCATCCAGAGCAAGATCATGAGCTTGGGATCTTCCAAGACGGAGGCGGCCCAGGAGAAGGCGAGGACCATACTGATCAACGCGAACGGAGGTGACGATACTGTGAAGAGGATGGACATGATAGACCTCTTGGTCTCGATCGATGTCCACTTGACGAAGCAGCGCAGCTTGGCCGTCTTCGACCTGGTGGACCAGGAACACGAGGCCACCGGCGTCACGCGCAACAACACCGTGGCACTGAAGGTGAAGAATTGCCTCGAGGACGCGATTGACGTCCAGGTCCCCATCGACGACTTACTGGACAGCGCTGCCAGAGCCACGATGGACGGCAACCTCGATAACATCTCCGGCTCATCCACCGTAAAACGTGGATTTGCGGCTGGCTGTGCGACCTTGTTGGGCCGCCACAGTTTGCTGCAAAATGGCTTGAGCCAAGTGGCGAAGGCGGAGGAGGTGGTGGAGAACTAGTAGATGGGGAGGTCCACCTTGCACCAGGAGTGCATCGGTCGGCCGTCTTCTTTGTCCTCGCGCAGCCTACAGTCGGGGCCCTGAAGAGGGAACCCTTTTCGTTGGGGAGGAGCTCCGCGTTCCTTGAGCGTTTCGCAGCTTGCCTCAGGTTTTCCTTATGTTTTCGATCGGAAATCGAAGTTTAACGTATGGAAAAAGGGGGCCTCGTTCCTTATTTTGGGTTCCTTAGGGCAAGGCCCCGACTGTACTCAATCGGGTCGAGCATTCTTCGCGGGAGCCCCTCCATGGGTGTTCGGCCGATGCCGTGCCAGCTTGGCCAGCCCCGACATATTAGTAGAGGCTTGCCCGCTCGTGGCGCCGCGCCTTCCCTGCGACCACGACTCGCGCACCCAACCGATCGTGCTCACGGATTGTGTTTGCCCCCCCTGCGTCGGGCCGGAAGGAGGAGAAGATCGAGCGAGGAGAAGGAACATGGTTCAGTGTGTGCACGTATGGACGGAGGGATGGGCACATGCACCGCCTGAAAGACCTCCAGGCTAAGATACGGCGACAATCGCTGCAGCACGACATGTTGTCGGCCAGGCTTGTTCATGACAGCTTCCATTTTCGCTGGACGTCCAACTTTCCAGTGGAACGTTCCTCGTCACGTGGCAGCCAGGCTGGCTGGTGCACCCACATATCTGGCCAACTTTTTGCGTAGTGCACGTCGTTCCTATCGCAGGACCCTCTAGCCTCCAGGGTTGTGCGCGGCCCGCACTGCCCTGGAGTTTTGGTTGGCCCCGCACGCCTGTGATGGGTGGTGGGGCCTGCTGGGCTTTCCTGCGGCGCGGGGCCCTTCAAGCTATGGCAGCGTTCTTCCTCGAGAGGGCTCCTCGGCCAGGGTCGGCAGCGGCAGACGCCGCCGCCCGAAGGCCATGTAAAGAGGCTCCATTGTGGGCACGGAGTTTTGGACGCTGTATTCGCATTGTTCGCTGTATCCTGGCGACGCATTTGTATACATTCACAGTGGGCCCAAGAACCGAACACAGCCTGGCGAGCACTTGCTCGATGCGAGTGCGAACAGGCATCCTCGATGTGTGGGCGTGCTCAATCAGGCGGTGCGCCGTCTTCGAGAAACAACATCATCATTGTTGACTCGATGATGATGATGATGATGCTGCTGCTGATGATGATGAGTATAATGGTGGGCGATGGTGCTGCTGATTCTGGCGATCATGATGGTGATGATGGGGCGAGGAGGGATTGGGGGGGAGTGTGCAGCGGCAGCAGCATCAGCCCTGCCTTCTCCCCTCTCTTCTCTTTCCCTCCCGCTCTTCCCGTCGCCAACTGCGTCCCCATTCTTTCATACCCCCCCCCGTGCTGCCCTGCCCCGTCGCCTCTTCCCTCTCCCCTGGGTCGCCTCCTCTTATCCTTCGGCGGCGAGCGAGGGGGGGGGGAGCGAGAAGGAGAAGGCCTTCTCAGAAAGCGGCGGGGCTTCTCAGAAGCCCTCGCGCCTTCTGAGAAGCCTTTTTGTGCCTTCGGGCAAAGCTTAGAAAACTGTTCGGAAGGCTGGGGAACCGACCCTTCTGAGAAGGCCTTCTCCTTCTCACTTCCCCTCCTCGCTCGCCACCGAA